AAAAACCTTTAGCCTTTACCTTACCTTTTCCTTTTCAGGTGGCCTGGATACGCCATCGGGACTTGCATATACTTACAGTAGGCACATATACATACACTACAGATCAACGCTTCCAAACATCGTACCATAGAGATATTGATGAATGGACTCTGCAAATAAAATGGGCACAGCAGCGTGATGCCGGCATTTACGAGTGCCAAATATCTACCCAACCAGTACGAAGTTTTTCGGTGAACCTAAACATTGTGGGTAAGTTGCAATGCATTGATTTTTAGGTCGATATAATTTACTAGGATGAATCAAAATGCTCGAAACTATAAGAATACATTGATTACATGCCATTTAAGTATCATGCATTCTGAAATTTCTTAAATTAAAAAAAATAAAAGTTATTGGTAATTATTAGATTTGACCCAAAGAGATAAAGCGATTAAAACAGCATAATTTGGGAATTTAAAGAATCTGAGCATTCATAATACTAAAATGGCATGTAATCAATGTATTCTTAAGTATCGAGCATTCTGATTAATACTGGCAAATTATATCGATCTCAAAAGAAAATGACTCATTTTCTTACGTATAATTCCTACGGGAAAAATTAACACCCGATTAACACCCTTAAAAATGTCGTTGACAGGGGAGATTAATGGAAGATCATTACTATGCCAAATACTAAGGTATGAGTCAGGCTGCGTCGCATTGCAGGATGTTTATTTTTTTTACGTGGTCTAATATATAACAGTACTAGCAGACCCGGCGAACTTCTTAACCATTAACTTAATTTAACCATTTTGGTCCAACATTTTCTCCAACAGTCCACGTTTACGATTTCCATTGGCACATTCATCGGCTAAGAATATGACGTGGTGGTCATTTGCCTTAAATAACCTAAAGAAAGTGTTATGTCCATAAACAAGTTCCCTGGCGGCAACAATGATCCGGATCTATAGTGAAGCTGGCCTTGAAACTTCTTGCGGTTATTACAATCTAGCACAATCGAAATCAAATATTTGTTAAGTAAATGCGACCCTGTAGCTAAGCTTTCGGAACGCCTCCACCTCAGCTGACACTGACAGAAGCATCTGTCAGAGCAGCAGCCATCACTTCCAGTTTTTTTCTTTTCGTGGAAGCCTAGCTCGGGAAGTGGACGTGTTTGGAAGATAACCAGCGAACATCCCAGCGATCCGGACGAAGATAAGTTACACGCCGTGATAAAAGGACACAAGCCTTGTTGCTAAAGCATACCGGTAGGTAGGTGCCACGCCCCCTTTTCCAATAGCCCCATATTTTCTCCATGACTATAGGATTAATTTCACATATCTCCACACCAAGTTCCAGTAATCTAGAGATAAGCAATAAAAAAAATTATACTTGTATGGGATGGGCCACGCCGGTATAAAAATCCAGTACTCTACCATAAACACTTCCAGAGATACTAATTATGAAAAATTCGGTTTATATGGGAGGTGTCACGTTCCCTTGTCGAATAGTCCGAATTTTTATTCATGAGTATGCGATTGATTTCATATATCTCCATACCAAGTTCCAGTATTCTACTATGAACATTTTCAGAGATATACAGTATGAAAAATTCGGTTTTATATCAGGTGTCACGCCGCTTTTCCAATAACTCCAATTTTTCTCCATGAATATGTGACTGATTTCATATATTTTCGTACCAAGTTCAAAAATTTTCCAGAAATATGCAGTATGAGACATTCGGGTTATATGGGAGGTACTACGCCCTCTTTTCCAATAGCTCCAATTTTTCTGCAAGCATATGCGATCGATCTTATATATCTCCACACCAAGTTCCAGTACTCTACCATGAACGCTTCCATAGATATGCACTATGAAAAATTCGGTTTGTATGGGAGGTGCCGCGCCCCCTTTTCCAATAGCTCAAATTTTCCTCCAAGAGTATGCGATGGATGAAGTTGTATATTTTTGAAAGAAGAAAGGTGTGTAAAAAACAAAACCAATATGAATGAATCATATTAACTTTACTAAAGGTATGAAATCAAGAAAACCCCTTCAAGGAAATGGCAGAATTGAATTTGGCTGCAAGTTCACATGGGAATCTGCCTGCGACGGGATTGGAGGACATTTTAAGAGACTAGCAGCTAGAGTAAGTCGTCAACTCCTGAAGTTACAACAAATTCGTACCCCCGAAGCCCTTTACCAATGGGGTGGTGTATGTTTCCTATGGGATGCCTGTAAAAAATAACTGCAACTGCCTTTACTGACCTATCGAAAATTTCGCATTTCTACAAATAACAGCTATGTGGGGTGTGGGCGTGGTTATTGTCCGATTTTAAAAAATTTCAGCCGTTTGGTATGTTGCATCAAGGCAAACAACTGTACCAAGTTTGGGAGAATTTGGTTTAGCGCTTACCAAGATATACACATGTAATCATAAGTGGGCGTGACTACGCCCATTCTTCTAAAATTTATAATATTCTTATTTTCCGTCTAAAAATCATTGCAAATATCCATTTTCAGTGAATAAGCTTCATTAGTTACTAAAATATTGCAGTTTTCGTATTTCTTAAAACTTTCGTTATATAGGAGGTAGGCGTGGTTATTATCCGATTTTGTCTATTTTCAATACCATCCGTTCTACCCTGAAAAGAAGTACACATGCCACGTTTCGTTAAGATATCTCAATCGAACGGACGGACAAATAGTCACCGCTTATTCGATTTCTCTTTTCATCCTGATCATTTATGTGTACATTTGTCTATATCTACATATGTATCTCAATTCGTTTTGGCTTTTACAAACAAACGTTATATGCTAAAGGTTATAGTACCCTTGTGTTAAAAAACCTCGGTTATAAAAACAATACATTGATGTTTTCCCAGTGTTTTAATGTTTCTCTAGTACACGGAATAAAATGTACTCAGAAATATTTTTTAAACTCGAAGGAACTAGATTCACATATTCGCTACAACTTTAAGTAAATATATATATGTGCTGCTACTATCAAACCATGACGTACCTAAAAATCAAAATTTACCTATCCCAGCGGTTTCAATAAAATTAATTTAAAAAAAAAAACACATATTTTCAATTAAAAAATGCACACTTTAATATACACTGTCGATCAAAAGTGGGTGCATGGTGCTTTTTGTTAAATATTTGCAATGTTTTTCAAATAAAAATATTTATTTGTTTATAAGAATATGGTTCGTGCTTTAATCATCTTAGTCTTGAACTTTCTAATCTGAATCTTTAGAAAAAGTGGGTAAAGTGACTCAAACACAATTTTTAAGTGGCTAAAATATCGCTTTGATTTTTAATGATTTTTTTTTGCTAGTGGGTTTTGTGCTTTTTACCATATAAAAGTGTATTTCTTGAAGAATAAAATGCGCAACCCCTAGCTAATATTATGTTGTACTTTAAATAATATAATATAAAAATTTTGAAATAGAGTTCAGAAAAGAAGCTTTGCTAATCTAGTCCTCAAAGCCTATTTGTATCCAGGGTGATGGTTGCACCAGCTCTCGCTTGGCACTGGTCGTTCGGCAGAGTACGAACGTTACGTTTACGGACGAAATATCGATGCTCTCTAATTTTCAAATATACCACCCTTCTAGTGCAGACCTCCACAGTTTTTATGAAATATGTACAAAAAATTATACCTCGCTGCTCGAACAAATACATGAAATTTGTATGCATATGTTCGGCCGCTTATTCGCATATGAAAGAGGATAATGCATGAGTTAATGCAAATAAAGACGGTTTATTCAAATAAGTGAGCCCGTTTGCTGACCGTATAATATATAATACATATGCAAACATACATACATATCACATCAGAATGACGAGCTGAGTTGGTTGAGCCATGTCTGTTGGTAAACACTTTAATTCGAAAAAAAATTAGATATTTAAAAGAAAGTCGGTGCCAAAGTTGTTGGTATAATTTGGGTTAGTACTAAATTTTGATGAAATCTGTCAATAACCTCGCCCACCTCCCCTGTAGTAATTAACAATATTTTTGTATATTGTATTTTTAGGAATTTTTCTGTTTAAATTTACATTTCAATAATATCAACAAGCATTTATGGGTACTTTTGCACCAGTCGTTGCCTATGGGTTAATGACACAAAAATCCTATACATCCGCAATATTTCACGTATTAATTTTGAAATAAGAATATTGTCAATGGCTGGTTTACTGTATACTATGGTTTTCCATGCATCATATATATTAATGAAGGAAGTTTGTTATTACTTTTTTATAATATTTTTACTCAAAAATTGTTTTCGTTTTTTCTTTATCCAAGTCGAATTTTTTATTTAAAAGAAAAAGCACACCTCTCTCTACAACTACACTGAGCCAAAAGACAAGGGTTTTCTCAACCAAGATATAGAGAGAAGCCGATTGTAAGAAATATGATTCAAGTTGGACATTTGAGAAGAAATTCCAGCAGTATGAATGCCGTTAGCGCGATACATAATTATACCCGAGCGCACTTGTGCACAAGGGTATTATAACTTTGTTCACATAAGGTTGTTTATAGCAGGCAAAACGAATCGAGTTAGTATAGACAAATGTATACATAAATGCTCAGAATGAAAAGAGAAATCGATTAGGCGGTGACTGTCCGTCCGCCTGTGCACACAATAACTCGAGTAAAAATTGAGATATCTTAACGAAACTTGGTACGTGCACTTCTTTCGGGCGTAATAACCACGCGTACCTCTCACATAATGGTAATTTTCAGAAATACGAAAACTGTGATATTTTAGTAACTGCTGAAGATTAGTCACTCAAAATTTACACTTACAATAATAAAAAATAAGAATATTATAAATTTTTGGAAAATGGGCATAGCCACGCCCACTTATGGTTACATGTGTATACCTTGGTAACCGCTGCACCAATTTCTTCCAAAATCGGCACGGTACAAGATACCAAATGGCCGAAAATTTTTAAAATCGCACAATAACCACGACCACATCCCATATATCGGTAATTTAGGGAAATACAAAATCTTCGACAAATCAGTAAATAATAAAGCTAATATATTCACAATTGGTGCTTGCAAAAAATTCTTTACCAAGAAATATGCCTGTGGTAAAATTTTGGAAAATCGGTAACCGTTCAACCAATTTGTACTAAACTCGGTATGGTTATTGTGCTTGTCACGTAAAAGCAAAATGTTGAAAATTATTGAAATCGGACTAAAATTACGGCCGCTTTTCATATAACGGTAAGTTTCAGAAATGCTTGAAACTGCAATA